GAAAAGATGAAAAGTACAGTTACGTCGGGCTTGTAACGAGTGTGCGCGGGAGTAATTAAACACGAGTTGTTCTCTATTTCCAGTGGGAGCAGATAAATTGAGTGTTGGAAACAGTCACTTATGTGACTTTAGTAAGAACCTTAACTGAAGTGCGCGCACTGCACACAGTTAGCCAGCCAGCCGCGCTAGGCCAGCGGAGCAGCTTTGTAAAAACTTACAAATTGTCCGTGACAGTTCCGGCTTATTTAACCGTATTAGATTTCGAAAGTGTCTACATAATCTTTTATTACATAATTAAATCACGAGGATGTACAATATGTACTATGTTATTCTTGTAAATTTTCTGTGTCCTCAAGACGCTTGCGTTCATGACTTATTCTCTGTCAAACTCGAAAGGCCCGTTATTTCGGAAATGAACTCGAATATTCCAATAAAATTCAGTAACATTGATTTGTATTGTTCGCGGACCAAATTTTAAACGTGTTAAACAAAAAAGGCTTTGGGCCTATAAGTCAGATAAGTCAGAGAATCGATCATATAGACATACTTTGCTTTTTTGCAAGCTCAAGCGGAACACGGCGCGAGGTGTTTCGCGGGACAAAGTATAGGACAAAGAAGGAAAAGAAAGTATATAGAAGAAGAAAAGATTTGCTAAGGGCAATGTACACTGGAGCTTCTTTGTGAACTATTTTTTTTCTCCTCTTGTGTTACAGGCTACTCACTGCACACGTCTGTATGTACTTCGTGCTATGTGTACAGTACGCGCCCGAAGGCTAGTTCATTCGGCAGCTGTGTCAGACGCCATGAATATTTCTCTCTTTTTTGACAAAAATACAGGTGGTAATCTTAAGATCTGCAAATACTTTTACCGTGCGGAATATTTTTACATTGGAAAATTTGAAATGCTATTTCGTTGCAATATCCCCAAGATCAAGGCGTGCATTCGTGCGCGCGGCAAGGGGCGTTTGCTTTGGTTGAATACGCAAGAGCGAGACTTTTGATATCCCTCGGCATCTGCAGGTATTATCGACTTGCAATTTAGGCAAATCCATTTGGGTAAAGGGTAACACAGCAGAAAGAGCAAATATCAGAGCTGAGGTCAGAGAGGATTTCGAACAGAGGCTGTGTACACGGATGATACGGATTATTCGACAAACGAAGCTTGCAACTTCCATATGTATAAAAGCATCCCTCCATTTTACCCCGCGCACAGCAGCCAAGAATTCTCGAAGTGAGAGAAGCGCAACAGAAAAGAGTAGTGGGAGTTAGATATGCAAATTGCGTATACAGTCGAGCTACCGATAGCAGAATATTCCTTGATTTTTTGCTCTCCTGGAGAAATGAAAGGATCGAATGCAGTGGCACGGCTACTACTGTGTGCCGATAAGATGAATTTCAATCGATTCAAGACTGCGCACGATATACATGCACGCGCTTGTACCGTCGCAAGCTCCCAAGCGCATGAAGAAAATTGTATACTTCAATGAAGTTTAATAATAATACGAATCGAATATTTCTTTTTTTTTCTGAACATCGACTGTTTGAACTTTTTTTCTTCTTTTTCTAATTGTACCGATCGGACCTAGTAAAATTGCTCTGCAAAAGCCCGAGTCGTGCTCGCCATTGGATGCACAACGTCGCACACAGGAATATTTATGGCTGGTGGATCGGGACACTGGAACGGATAGACTGTGCAAGTTAAAATTTGAATAATTACTTTACGGATAAAAATTTCGGGGGAGTAGTCGTGTAATGTTACTAAAGTAAAGCTCACACGTGCTTTTGACAAATTCAGTTATAATATTCAATTATGATTAGTTAAAATTTTCTAAAAAAAAAAATGAAACTGGTTCACCACACTATTGATACTCGGTTATGTTCAATTAGTTTTGTTGAAAATAAAAAACGCACTCGAAAATATTGGTGGACGCTCAGCTCTACATGTTTCTACAGGCACACATTATGATATATGTGTTCGAGGCATAAAAAAACTCGTATCAACTCTCGAGCGGTAAATGTGAACATGTTCAGCCAATGCCGTAGACTATTTCTCTACATGATAAAATTGGTATTTTTATCAACACACGAGCGGCACACACAAAATAATCTATACGTGTATACGGAACATTTTTTTGAACCAAAGTGTATGGATGTATAATATTTGTTGCCACTACATGCTTCTCACATGAAAATGGAATTGTGATCTGTTACAAACTGTATATGGCAAATATAAATTTTTATTATTAAAAAAAAAACATTCGATTTTACGAGTGATGATCGACAAGTATCAGTGCAATCGGGTATAGAAAAAATTGAAAATAAATTAAAGTGCCGTTGAATTTCATTTTAAACCGAGTACGAATCAACAAGCTTTTACTCGATTACTGGATAAAAGAAGTGCATAATTAATGCTTATGAAGTATTGGCATTTATCAGTAGGAATTCTGCAATAATTACTCAGCATTTAAAAAATATACTGTAGAAACGATAATTTTGCTATTATAATAAAAAGTTGCATTTAGGATATAACTGAGTGTATTTCATTAACATATACGTCTGGTCGAATTATAGGAGCAATTAATTATATACGTGCATGGGTATGCATGATTGTTGTTTTGTACGTCAAAAACATACATCGTTCGAGTTTCTACGTATTATTTATGATAATGAATTATAACAAAAATCGTATACTCTTCTATATAATATGATGATAATAATATAAATGCAAGTGTAGAGATATATTATAATTTTACGAGTGAGAGCACAAAGCGGCAACTCGTGTATGATACACTTTCTCAAAAGTAGCTTTTGTTTTTCAAAAATACTCTGCATTGAAAACCTGTAGCTTCGTTTTTGTTTTATTTACACTTACGAGAAATTATCATTATCACCACCACCAACACCACCACCATTATCGTCATTATCGTCATCATCATCGTGGTCGTAAATCAAGTAGTCCAGAGAAGACGAAGCCGAGGAAAGATTCACCATTCAGCATCGGAATAGTAGAGAATTATTTACCAGGGTTAGGAATCAGAAAACGTAATTTCAACATTTATATGAAATGCTAAGTCACTGCAGAAATTACCAGCGAGGGAAACACGAAATGGAAAAAACCGTTTTTTAAAAAAAAATCTTTTTTTTGTTATTATACTTTTCCGCATGTCATGCATACATAAACATATAAATGTACATATAAATATTTGGTAAAAAGACGCTATGTGCACATATTATTCGTTTTAATTTACTTTTTTTGCGACATTTGTGAGGGCGCGCACAGAGCAGTAAAGACTTATAGCAGCGACCAACAGCTGTTCGTTCGTTCTCTTTTTTTCCAACGCTCGCGCTCGCAATATTTTTACCGTGAAAACATTTTCCCACAATTTTGATGCTTTCTCTGTGCACCGGACTTTCGTGCGAGAGCTTCATTTCACTCCGTTCAGGTTGAATCGATTTCAATGTCATATCGAGGCTAAAGTTTAAACTTAAGAGTTTCACGGAGGATAATGAAGTTCTCGGATGCGCCGATAAATTTTCTTCTTTCTTTCATTTTATGTAACTGTACTTCGCTGTATGTACTTTGGCTCACTTTTCATTTTCACGCGAGCGAGTCTCTACATATAATGAAAGATAAAAAAATTTCGGCGAAGTTGTTGCTCAGCGTGAAGCCGTATTGAATACAATGCGGTATAAAAAAGAGAGCCCCTTGGACTTTGATAAGGTCGCAGCTTGGAATTTTCAACGAAATTTATTCTCCGTAATTGCTTTTAATTTTGCAGTCATTCATTTTCCACCGGGTTTAGCTTTCTCTTTTTCTCTTTACTAGTAGTTTTTCATAGTCGTCGCAGTTCCATTCGGCAAACACCGCACGTAAAAGCCACGTACGCTCAGTTGCACATTTCGACTCTTTTCTCGATTACCCTTATACTTAGCGGTTATATGCGACAGAGAGAAAGAGAGAGAAAGAAAGAAATTGTGCGGATATTAATTACGAGAAAATTGTAATATTTACTGCAACAATTGCTCGCGACCAATGCTTTAAAGAAAATTAGAAATATATATAATTTTGTTAACCACGTGCAACTGAACTGCGACAAGTTATGAATAATAAAAGTTCACTTCAATTACGAGTAAGATAAAAGCCTAAAAAAAGTACTCGAACGATTAGTTCGCATATACTCGAATCGACACGTTCGTATGGTAGCGAAACGAATAATTGCGTGCGTATCCCGAGTAACGACTCGGGAGAGGCAAAGCAGATATTAATTACTACAGAGTAGTGCCTCGCACGCGTCATGCAAATGTTAACGATACAATCGATACGCGATTTGTGTTCGTCACGTATACTTGGCACTCCCTCTATATCTTTCTCTTTTCCAATTGTAATGAGGAGAGAGAGAGAGGCCTTAATTGCCGTTTCTCGCGCCTGCCTATGCGCAGTTTTAGATGGTATTGTGAGATCTTGCGCGCTCTATACGTGTATATGTGTGCATACACGTACTCGCCGTTCTGTTGCGCGTCAAGCTCTAGTTTTCCAATTTAGCTCGAGGGGTATTATTCGCCGGCGCAACTCGATGTATACAGCAGCGACTCTCGAAGTAATTCGAACGGTGCTTTGCGAGTCGAGCGCGCACCAGCCATCGCGTTCCCGATGCTAAATAATTAATTAAACAATAATTACATCGACGGATAATCGCGCGCAAATTTTACGCAGGAAATGCTTGTCGTTGTTGCGTCGCTTATACGCGAACGTTGGAAAAAAAGAACGAACGAATTGGCGTCGTCGTATTATATACGTACTGTATGCGACGTTGAATATGCACCATTTTTCGATATTTACAGTGGGAAACGTCGATACATCATATCATACGTATAATTAATTGAGAAAAGGTCGACGTTTCCCGAGTGCACGGCGGCGTCAACGTCTGCGCGGTCGTACGTATTACTGCCTTTTATATTTCAAGTGCGTTATACAGAGGACTCGATGAACGTCAACTCACCCCCTTGAAGCTGCGGCTTGCCGAGTTCCACGTAGAATAGCGCATCCTTCTCATAAGAGTCTTCTTCAATTATCGTAAGATTTATGACTTTTCTGAAACACAAAAGAAAACAAATTATGGTTATGTATTGAACTTATGTATTGTAATATAAAGATGGATAGGTGTACTCGGTCAGAAAAATATGCATACAATAAAAATGGATAAAGTTTCTTGGAAAAGCAATCACAGGTTGCATCAAACGAGAGAAGCCGAACGGTCAGCAAAATGCGCGTACATTATTTCAGCCTCGATAGAAGAAGCTTCAGCTTTCTTTGGAAATCTTGAGTAACTCCTCAACTTCTCGAAAGTCTCGACTACGGGCTACGAGGGCGCTATCGGTAATACTCGAAAGCAACACAAAGTTGTACTTCAGTTCATCGGCCGAAACTTTAAATTATCAGAAAAACTTTTTTCCTACTTTTCCTCTCGATCGAGATGTATCTAAAATAGTCTATGCGTGGAATGATTTAGGTCGAGGTAGCAAGCAACAAAGTCATCGTCTGGCGTCGTCATCATCGTCATCAGATCGAGGAGGCAACATTATTAACTGACCGATAAGAGTCAAGTTTCTGCAAATAATTTGATTGCCAAAGAGGAGCTTACATACATGCATATTAGCCGAAACGATGAGCGACAGCGAACGTATACTCTGCTGGACGACTTCCGCCTGCACTGCGCCGAAATTGTATAACAGCTTGTAGCGACAAGCTCGTCGGTGCTTAATGAAGTTATTTACAGGGCGACGCGCACTGCACCAGTATATGATTATGTGCATGCGTCCTGTGACGTTCCTTGTACCATCGTTAGGTAATATTGTTTTGAAATGTACACGTACGCAGGCATCCGCGATTTTCTTAAAGCGTAATTCGGAGTTACAGGGCACGCCCCGAGCGCTCTCAGAGTCTCTTGTACATAAACATTTCTACATATACCTGTATATTTAATTTAGCCTCACACTCGCGAGAAGCGATAGTATGCGTTTTATGCCGATGAAAGGAATTCCATTACTCGATAACAGCTCTGGGAAAGAAAGGCGGCACATACATAGAGCTTGCGCGCGCGCGTCCATTACCTTACGGATATATAATCTACTTTTTTAGAGTCCGGATATCTGCACGAAAGCTCGCTTTAGTTGGTCGACATCGCTGCCTGAGCGCGGAAAACTCGTAACCCAAACTACTTTCCATGCACTCTCGGGCTTCTTTTCTCACTCTCTACTTGTGTGTGTGTGTACTACATTATGAATACATCTATATACATGTATCAGCCCTCGAGTTCAGGTACTGTTCAGAGTTGAGTGGATTCAATTTTCTTCCACATCGAGCTACACAGGCAACTACACTGGCACAGGTCCATGTATAATGTTAGGGCGGCTGCTCCTGAGCTTCGATGCAATGCACTGAGACTCATAGAGCAAGAGGTGCGATCATAGCCGCAGCTCCACTGAACTTTGAGCGTATGTACAGTTGAGGCCTACGCGTGTTTGACATTTTTTTCATATAATGACTTTGTTTGAATTTTTAAAAGCATCCAATGTAGCGAAACATCGATTGCTACTTGACCATTGTGCCACAATAAAGCATGCTAAAAAGCGCTACAGTGTAAAAATTATTGGTAAATTTCAAGTACACTTGACTCGTACTATTGTACTCTTGACGTTTGTATTCAAATATAGATATACTATATAATAACTTTTAACATTATTGTATTTTCATTTTAAAAACAAAAAACTTACTCTTAAAAGCCAATGACTTTTATGTGAAAAATATTGTATTAATTCTAAAATTAATAAAATTCAGTACTTTTATTAAAATTAAAGGAAATATGCTGTATATTTACTTGACCAATACGTAAATTTTTAAAGAAAGACTGGTTCTATTTTAAAAGTATCTTAAAATGGTAGAAAATACAAAGTTTTAAAATATTGTTTTAAGGCAATTTATAAATTAACAATTATAAGTTACCGCTAGATGGCGTATGACCGGATTCTCGGAAACCAAAAAAGAATAGGTAAAGTTTTAGATTCAAATGAAAATAATTTTTAAAAAAGATCATGCTTTGTTTTGTCCTTAGAGCCTACCTAAATTTTCGAATCGAATTTCAGTTGAAATGCAAATATCTTAAAATACAATAAACATGACCCTGGTAGAAATGCAACATTTTTTGACCGATAGTGTAACGCTTTTTCTCATATAAAATGGCCATTTAATGGACATTTGCCATGAATGGCCATTAAATGGCCATTTTATATGAGAAAAAGCGTTACACTATCGGTCAAAAAATGTTGCATTTCTACCAGGGGAATATTAGGCCATTTTATTTGAAATTAAATCCATATGCTAATGCCTTAAAATTAGTATTTATAAATTGAAATGTTGATCAAGTATATTACAAATTCCTGTACTTCAATTCTTGAAGCAAGATGAATGTTGTAATTACCATTCACTTACTATGAACACTTGTTGACTTGTAGTAAAAATCAAGATCTACTAGAAATCGCTTTATTAAAATCCGGGTTAGAAAATTTCTTCCAGTATTAAACTTAAATAGATCATTTATAGAGTTTACATTAGAGAATGTAACAATTTAAAATGATTATCATCAAAATTTGATTTATCCGTTCCATAATGAGGACACTGGATCAAGTAGTTTTGAACTCTAATGAAATGCAACATTTTTTGACCAATAGTGTAACGCTTTTTCTCATATAAAATGGCCATTTAATGGTCATTTGCCATGAATGGCCATTAAATGGCCATTTTATTTGAGAAAAAGCGTTACACTATTGGTCAAAAAATGTTGCATTTCTACCAGGGTTCTTTCATACAGTTTAGATAACGAATAACTTGATACGATTTTAGTGGAATTGTATACTTGATTCTTTAGTTCACACATGAGATATGATCCACAATAGGAATGTATACCTTAACCCAATTGTTGATTATTTTTTCTAATTCCACGCAACGAACATTTGAATCAATTGCGACTGTAGCATTGCACAAGGAAAGGGTAATTTTCACTCGATTTGCCGAAACGGCGTGGAGCGCAGCGTCCGAATAGTTTTCGCGCGCTTTTAGCTTTCTCCGACACTGAAGCGCATGCACTCATGCCGCCACGCATAACAATACTTGCCCTTTTACGAGGTCAAGGCTCATTACCTGCATGCAAGTCGACCTTGTTCCTCTCTCATTCTCTCGCAGTCCCGGGCAATTTGTTCGCTCACGCGCCAACTCGTCGTGTATACCAGTAGAGCTATCTAGCTAGACGATACGCGGGCACGCTATTCGCCGCTTATAGGCATTTTCTAGACCCTTTTGTCTACTTATATAATGTATATATACGATTCGTGATTCCCTTCTGCCTCGTGGAGCAGAGTCTCTTGCTGCTTATGTACGAACTTTCGGGATTTGAATGCCACTGTACTGAAGCGAGCGAGAAGAAAGATGTCGTGCGAACGAACGAATAGTCGAAAAAACTACTTCCGGTAGTTTTGCTATTGACTCTGTAGGGAATAATGAATGAACGTTTAATTTAAATTGCACTCGAATATTCGGCGTTAGAAACAGCACATGCGAATAGACTTTTAGAAAATGAATAAAAATAAATAAATTCCAGTCACGAGAGATATCCTGCTCGAAATTGAATCAAAATTAGACTAAAAGTACACGGCATCCTTTGAGCAACTTTTCATTAAAAATTTAAACTTTATTTCCGCAAAAATAAAGAAGCGCTTCCTTTCGCGTACAGCGTATATTTAGTCGAGTTTAAAGGTTGTGCTTCGCAAACGCTCGCACCCTTATCCCATAGGAGATCGTTGCAACTTTTGTAGAGAGCTAAAATGCACTCTAATTTTTCTCACGTATCTCGTATAACTCTCGTTTCTCTGCTACACATGCACACACGCGCGCGCTCACCACCGCAATGCAATCCAAATTCGCAGTTATTTTTCTTGCAAAGCCCTTCGTACAGAAATCATATATATTATGTAATTTTTTTGCAAAAAACTTTTTCCAGATATTTGTATAGGTGCCCCGTTTCAGCACGCTATAAGCGTCGAGGATGAGCTGATCCGAGGAAAATGTATTTCCGGAAAATGAAGGTTTTTCATGGCCCGTCGATTGAGCAAATATTAGCTCACGGGTCCGTAAAAAATGAACGGCGCGGTGAGACATTTTCAGACAGGCGAGAGGAAAATCGGAAAGCGTGTTATAGTCTGAAGGCGGAGTGATTTTTAATTCAGAGGTCGAATTTCGAATTCGAAAGCTATAAAAGTATCTCAATATTATAGTTCGTGTCTGGAATTAATCCTAAAATTGAGCATTCGCACATTGTTGTAAGATGTAATTAAGTATAAAAGATGAATAAAATGTTTCATCGCTTATTAGTTGATAAAATCAAAACCAGAAAAGTATTATTTTTTTATTTGTAACTTATGATGAACATCTATCATATTTTATGCAAACTTTGATAACTTGGAAAGTACCGAAATATCAATTTATAATTTAATATGCTTTAGTATTATTGTATATTACGTTTCTTAAATTAAGAAAGTTAAAAGATGATTTTTTTCCAGATCAAAGTGCAAAAGTAATAAATATAATTTGAGCGCAGAAGTAGCTACATACTTTTTACCGCTCGGATCAGTAAAGTCAATATAGCTCGCATGGAAAAAACGGCAAAAAAGTGTATTAGCGTTGCGTCGTGGTTCAAAGACATATACGGAAGATACTCATTCTTTTGACCCTCAAATACGAGAAAGAAACGGATCGATTTAAAGATACAATATAATCCATAACGAAAAACTCAGGAAAAATGTCTGCTCGACTTCTCAACCCCCAGGCTCCTATCGAGTTGTAGTTGGAGAAATTGACATACATCCGCCCCCAAGGAAAAGTCATCGGGCATTCGACGATGTTTGTGGGGGCCTTTGTTCTCTCTCAGTTTCAATCAATAAATGATAAGACAAGAAAAATTAGTAACTCAGGCCAGTGAAACTTGAGACTAAGAAAACAATTTGTTTATGCGATTTTTTATCAATTATATATAAGATTCA